CTTTGAAAACTGGCACAAGACAAGGATGCCCTCTCTCACCACTCCTATTCAACATAGTATTGGAAGTTCTGGCCAGAGCAATCAGGCAAGAAAAACAAATACAGAGTATTCAATTAGGAAAAGATGCAATTTAAAACCCAAAAAGCAGGGCTTTTAATCTTTTTTTTTTGTCCTCATTCTTTCTTCCTCATTCCATCTTCCTTCTGAGTATGTGTTTTTTTCATAGTATAACACATTCTTAACTAGATTTTTCAATGAAAATTCAGAGTTTTAGGGTTGTCTTTATTTTTGTCCACATTCCATATATAGAATTGTAGATTATAAGTTATATTTTTCTTGTATTATTGTTCATTCTGTCGTTTTCTACCTTTTTTCTAGGCTTTCTCTTTTTTTTTTTTTTTGGTCAATTTCTGATCTCTTAATTCTGAGCAGCATTCTGGGTAATTTCCTTAGGCTTGTTCCTTAATCATTTTCAGCTATGTCTAATATGTTACTTGACCTATTTAATTTCTATTTTAGTGATTATGTTTTAATTTCTAGAAATTCTCTCTCTTCTATTTCAGATTTTCCTTTTTGAACTTTTTTATGTTTTTAACTTTGAATATTTTAGTCCTTTAATAAATTAATGTGAATTCTATAAATTAAATATTTATATAATATAGAAACAATATATACATATAATATGTAAATTAAAATTAAATACTCATACTTGATTATTCTAATATCTAAAGCTGTTGTGACTAATTTTACTTACTCCAACTCAGTGGAATAGTCCCTTCTGTTTTATAATGTTGGTTACAAGTTTTAGCAGTCTTGTTTTTGTACAGATTGGATTGCAAGGTTATTCTTCTGTTGCTCTGTTGTACTTGCCAGTCATCTAAAGAGAAAAAACTGATTCAGAATGATTATATTCATTGCTTCATTGATTTTCCGGTGACTCGAGTGGTTACTAAAACCAAACCGAGGGAGCTTAGGGAATAGGCCAGTGGTACAAATTTAGGGCATTATTTTTAACCCAAAACTCAGGTAGAGACTGTCAAGCCCTTTTGCCTCCTTTTCTTTGAAGGTATTAGATCTTTAGAGTTTTCATCATGATATAGATCCACATTCCTAATTCACCACCTCATAAAGTGACCCAAGGTCCTATATTCTGTCCTCATCATAGTGCATTAAGAGCCAAACTATTTGGTTATAGGATTATATACTTTTTTTTTTTAACTCCAGTAATTTGTTGAGGAAAGTGTAAATTGCACAAAGTGTTTAATAAATACATAGTCACAATGGGAGTGGAGATTGTCAGTATAATCACTAATCATATTAAATCAAGAAGACACAAATGGCTGGGCACGGTGGCTCATGCCTATAATCCCAACACTTTCACTTTGGGAGGCCAAGTTGGACAGATCACTTGA